TGGGGAGACGGACCCAAAACGCAACCTAGTGTAATACAAGTTTAATTCTTATATAATGCTCGACCCAAAAATAGTAGTTGATGGTCCCAATTTTGCAGAGTTCATTTTTGTATGAAATTACTATTGCGAGTCAATTGTCATCACTACATATTAAAATGTCGACTTTTTCCATACAACGACTTTTCAGAACAGGACGTTATGTGGGGAGTGGTCGAAAAAGTAGACCTATCCAAGACATTTTCAACACCGTTTATCCTTGGATCAAAACACGTCACTGTAGAAAATTTCATCACTACACTAACGGGTATTGGACGAACCATGGACGATCCCTTTCGGAAATTGTTCAGATCCGACCACTTTCCCGATCACTTTTCAGATTTTCGGTACATAAATCTCCAAGTGACAGTATTTCGCCATTCTAAATTGGTCCGAAATGTTTCGCTCGAATAGAGTAATTTGTTGAACACTCTACCATATAACCTTTTCTAAGAGAATTGAATCTTCATATAGTCCGTCTTCATATAACGATCTACTATTTATTGCTTCTTGATTCCTAGTAATATTTTGACATAAAGACTAACCTTAGTGAATTTGTAACTCTTGGATTTGTTTTTTGATCACATCCTATGTAGGGATGCTTCACTTGCCAAATCGATTAACTCCATTTTTACAATTTTATTAAAATTTAATATCAAAGCACTTCATTAGCTCCTTACTGTACACATTCAAAACGAATTTCTCTAATAATGAGTATTAACATCACTAAATGACAAAATCCTTTTGATCACTGAATAATCAATAATTTATTTATAATATATTATCATTTTTTTCAACTTCGTGTTTTATCGAGTTGATCGATTTGGCAAGTGAAGCATGCAATTAAGGGTTCTAATGAAAAACAAGGTAGGTAAGGTCGATTATATTAGACAAAGGCTGAATCTTGTATTCCCGCCGCCACCTACTTTATCAACTCACAATTGTACATTTAGTCATATAAAAGTGACTAGAATCACATTTAATTTCTACCTTTTAGTTTACTTGAATAAAAGCTTATTTAAAAAAAATATTCCTATGTTTCTACCAACTTTGAAGTCGATATCTTCATTCCTTGCAACTGGGAGAGTGTTGTCAATGTACACTATGCAAACACATAGACGCACAGACACAACGAGGGACAGACAGGACTACATCGATTTAGACTTTCAAGCTGATCAAGAATGTGTGTACTTTATTCGACGTATATACTTTGAGGCTTACTGTTGGGTGTTGCAAATGTTAGGAGAAAATATATTTGTCCTCATTGTTCAGTGATGGATATAATACGTGAATTTTATTGCGAAAAGCAATTCGATACAAAACTTAAGCGTTTCAAATTTGGATCGAGTAGTTCTATTTAGTGGACATAATAGCCTACAAGCCTTGTATGTATTGTCATGTACTAGGAGCAAAAAAGGTTGAATTTTTAAGGCTTTGCAATTAAAATTGGTCCATTCGAACCATCTAGCATAAAATTTAATCATAAGAAATTTGGATCACGTAAGACTATTTTCTGGGTAAGGGCTTTCATGAAAAGCAAGTCCGTCTAGTCTTTTGCTTTACAGAAGCAACTGAAAAATATCGTAATAAAATCTTTGACAATAGAATTAACTTTGTTAGATATCGCTAAGCAAATGTTTAACCATTATGAGCCAGAATCATTAGAAGCGGAAGCAGAAAGAAGGAGAATTCGTAGACAATGTCCATTAAATGCGATTTTGAAACCTACCTGAATGCGACTCTGCCAAAAAAGAGTTTGTGTTTCAAATATGAGTCTTAAGTAAGGATCCCCAAGATTAAATTTAGCATCAAGTACTGCCCTAACAATGCAATTGTCAGTACCAGGCGGCGAAGTTATACAAGTTGAATAGAATAAATTGGTAAACGCGATAAAACAAACAGTGTAATTGCAACAGAGAAAGAAAAGGTATAAGGTAAAAACACTTGAACGTAAAAATAAGAAAAAATACTTTTATCGATGTAGCAGTGAGGCTTATTTGCCGTATAAATAAATGTACGTATAAAAATATAGCACGGGCCTGATGATATTATAAATAAAAGTAATAAACCATTTTTTTATGTTTTTATAATATCACGCATGATTTCACTTTTTATTTAAGTCAGTCAATTGTTTCAAGTATTGTTCAACTTTTATATTATTATAATTTCGTTTAATTTTCAAATGTCACTCAATTATCAAATATATTTTAGCAAAGACTTAAACCAGTGGAAATGTAGTAGACTGAGCACGATGGAGCTGGCTTCACGAAAACGGTTTCTCGATTACAAAGAATACTTATGAAAGCATATAAACGCATTGCGTTAATACACGTACGTCACTGAATAAGATTTAGATGTGAAGGCAAAATTGGAAAGAAAAGTTTAAAGGAAACTACGTTATGGAAATAAGAAAGAAAACTTCTACATAATTAAGGATTTCATGAAGTGGCACACTTGCTTATGTTACACATATTCGTCGTTTTGGCCAACAGGGGAAGACATTTTGTCATTTTGTGTGATGAAGTGATGGCTGGTACTTATATGACTCGCCATATGGACACACATACACACACACTCACACACGCACATATTTATATTTGCATATATATATATATATATATATATACATGCGTGGATACTTCCATACACACATGCATACGTACGTACATCCATGCATGAACATATGTTTGCGTACATATGTTTGTAGTTATACACGTGTGCCTATATGCACGAGTGTCCTTTCATTTATGCGATAGTGTCATAAATTTATTCATAAGCACGCATACACTCAAATTCAGATTTAAATGGCAAGTTGCCAACATTTGTTACTTGTATTTTTAATTTTTATTACAGAAATTATCTTTTACTTTGTTAAGAAAATTTTTGCTCTCACTTTATGTTAGCCTGATACTAAACTTTAACATCAGCTGTCATCATCAGTATCATCTCTCGAGATTATGGCAAAAAAACATCCAAGTACTCACGCATTAAAGTAAAATTATTCACAAAATATGCTCATACTCAATTAATTGGAACAAGTGAAAACATTATAGTTGGGCAAGGTCAACCATTAGATACCATACACCACTTCGCATAATACAGTACAATACAATAATTCATTCGTTTTTAATAACAAAAATCACCAAATTTTACACATTATTTTCATGCAAAGATATAGTTTTCTTAAAAGCCCGCATATTGTGAAATGTTCGAAACGCCATATGATGTCATCTAAATTTAGCAAACTTCATTTACTTCCAAAGAATATTATTATTTTTGAGTTTCCATCATAAACACAAAAATAGAAATTGGACTTACTCTCTACATAAGGGTTTGATTTTTCATGATAACCGCTACATAGATCCTAATAATCTAACAAACGGACGTTGTTGGTTCAAATTTCCTACTTTTTTGCTAACTCGCTACTATGAATCAATTGCTATCACAAAAATCTTTAAAACTTTTTCCGAAGTTTTTACTATTCATGAGAAATCTTATTACACAATGGGGTCCAAAAAGTAGACCCATATAGTTCAAATTTATTGCACTTAATTTTTGTATCTATCAAAAACAAATTTTCATTATAAGACATTAACATTTAAGCAAGTTTGCAAAACAAGGGCCCACATTTCCTGAGAGTCCTTATATGCGATCACATCTAAAATTTACTATTTTCAACTAATTTTCACCATGAATATTACAAAATATACCTTTTTATCATACAAACATTCAGTTTTCATAGGAAATTTTTATATGTGAGGTAGCAAATTGCCGCAGCCGAAGCAAATTTTTGATACCAATCTAAATTGGGGACGAGATACTATTACAAAGACTGTTTTGTCGAAAAATGTTAAAAATTGTAATTTTTTGGCGATGAGTCGAAAACGTGAACGGATCCGACCGCGTCCATCACTGGGTCAAAATACATTAGTGTAATATATCTCAAATATCGCAACCTGTAGGTTGAATATAAAAATGGGTTACTGGAAAACAGGCGGACAGACGGACAGACAGGTTTAGATCGGTATAATAATAGGTGCGTACGTCTGCACCAATTCCCAATCATTCATAGCGGAATTGTGTGAATTGAAGTGCTTATCATTTACGCTTGAAATTCCTCCTCCTTGCATTCTTACTTTTTGTACATCAGTTCCGTCCTTACAACCATGCTAATTATTATACTTCATATAAAACATCCGGCCGATTTTCAAAAAAAATTCTTACTTTATTACTCGGGAACGAAACTCATCGATATTTGCTGATAGTTTATGATGAAAGAGCCCAATCCGAGCCAAAATGCATGATAAAATGTTACAGATTATAAGAACATTAAATAATCATAGGATAGTTAAAAAGCAGCGAAGGCGAAGAGTTATAAAAACTGAAGAAATAAAATTGAAATTATTTCAACTGAATTATTTTTTTTATATATATATAAATCAGGCTGTGCGTTATACATTGTTAAAGGGAGAGGAAACATTTTAAATGTTAGCAAAACGCTTTTAATATGACAAGAATGAGTCGAAAGCGTACAAAGGCATGCATAAGCGAAACGCAAGGACAATCAATGCATTTGAAGTAAAAGAAAGTGTAATTGTATAGGTTATCTAAATTATCCATTACGCTATATATTTTATGGTTAAATTTTACTCGATTTTCTACGCAGATAAATCCTATAGAAGCTGTGTTTAATAAACAGAACTTATTAAGCTTTGTAAGAATTTTTGCTAATGAGACAAACATATAGATTCGATCGATATCCAATTCAACCCAAGATTTGCTAAATAAAATATCTCATGTATATAAATATTAATATCTAATCACTGTTGCAGGATCGTTCGTGCATTCGTTTGAATTGAATATAAATAAATGCATAAAAGTATAATAATGATTGTGTTTATGTTTGTTTGTTTGTGTGTGTTTGTGTGTGTGTGTTTATGTGTGTAGCTATAAGAACAACTTACCGTCTTTAGTATTAGTCGCAGCCGCTGAAGCCATGGTAGTGGTTTGGCCTGAAGCGTTAGTTGTGCTACCAGCTGATATGCTGCGCTCCATGGAACAATGCATCAGTCACGTTTTCTTTGATTTGAATGTGTTTATATGTATTTTGTGCTAATATCTTTTATTGTAAATCGATTACAATAGAAAATACACTAACGATCTTACAGACAGACGCGCTCACTAACAAAACACAATTCGCTAGACCCGCTAATGAAATTATTGTAATTTTATAGTAAATAAAACAGAAAACGCGATATGATGGTGGCTTTAAACAAAATTTGATATACACAATATAAAGATTAAATATCAAGGAAAACTTTAATTTTAAATTTTTTATTATTTATTTTTAAACGAACACATGAACGCACAAATTGATTTATTTAAAACAGTCGAAAGCAAAAATAAATTATTTATAAAAGTAAAGACATTTTACACTTAGTATTTATTATTATTATTATTATTATTATTATTATTACATTAATTATTATTATTATACTAATTATTATTATTATATTAATTATTATTATTATTATGGTTAAAAAAAGGACGAAGAAAAAGAAGAATCCATATAAGAGAATAATTGAAAATATTTTGCAAGAGCAAATATAAAAATAATAATAAAATTTTATAAATTTAGTTTTTTTACGTTAAAAAAGAATTTTCTTTTTTTTTTCTTTATCACCTACTTTTTATCTTGTTGTTACAAACTTGTGTAAAGCAATAAAAAGTTGTTGGCGTGAATAGCAACTACATAAATGCAAAGCAAAACACAAACGCACTCTTACGTACACACTCTATACAAATACAATAATTCAAGTTATCATAAAAAGAAAAAAAAACAAAAAAAAACCAATTTCAAAAAGAGCGGTACACGTTGTCCGTATTATACGGTTATCTCATTCGCTCTTAGGTAAGGTAAATGGAAGTGAGCAAAATGCAATGAGAACCAGATGTAGGAAGAAAAGAAAGAATTGCAAACTACTATCAAGTGTTTTTAGTGAGTAGGCAGCAGCGGCAGCAGCAGTAAATTTACAAAAACGAAAAGAATTGCAATTTTATCAAATTTTTGTAATTTTACAGCAAATTTTTAACAAAAATTATACGAATTCTCACAATAAATATTTAACTCTTTAATGCACACTTCTCAAATAACACGCGCAAAACACACAGACACAACCACATGAACTTTGCTTCTCTCTCTGCAAGAGTTTTTCTCATTGTTTTTTGTTACGATTGCAGTGAGTGACTATTGTACATTTTCACGATATCCGAGAAAAACAAAAAAAAAAAATAAATAAAAAAAAAATATATATATATATTTGTATATATATATAATTACTAAAATTTATTTAAAACATTTATTATCAAATTGGTTCACTTAAATTCATTTTGTTTTCAAGTTCTGATCGCTTGCAACAAGATTTTTATGCAATTTTTAAGCGCAAATCCTCAACAACACAAAGCACTCTCTATAAACGTAAAATTAAAACTGAAAAATATTTGGGTTAGTGTTGCCAAAGTATGTCAATCAACTCTCACGACCGGTATAGAGTTATAATTGCACTAAGGAAAGCATTAATATGAAAAGCGAGCTTATTTATTCTATAGTCCTATAAAAAAAAAGAAGCAAAGGGATCTCTATAAATTCATTAATTTATTAAACGGATTACATAAAAGCACTAAACAAATGGTTCATAGATTCGATAACATTTTATTGCTGCAGTCTTTATATATACGCATTTCTCTCTCTCTCTCTCTATTTATCGGCTCGAAAAAGTTTAGTCTCTTTCCCCGGTTAAAAAGATGTACTCATCTGGCAACTATAACAGCAAACAGAATGTATTAGCAGGTTTATGTTAACAAACTGTTACGTTTGTACCTGTTAAAATTGAAATTATTGTACGTTAATTGTATTGAGGAAGCTGTTTGCATTTAGGTATAAATATAGCTCAGATGGTTTCTGCCTACAGTGTATGTATAAAAAGAAACTTGGCTTCACACGCTTTTAGTCATACAAGGTTTTTGAAAAAACTAAATTATCATGGACGAAAATCGTTATTTATTTCGCTGCAAAGATGTATCTGCTGGCATTTTTTTGTGTCATTATACGCGCATAGTACATACTAAGCAGTGAACCTTTACTATCGAAAATATATAAATCCTTGTTTAAATTTCAGTTTCAAATTTCTCCTTCTGGTTCTTGTCGTTCGAAAACAATATTAAATAAAAATTTGTTTACTTAACTCAATTCTTAACTATATTAGCTGTCGAAAGCTTTTTCTGAATTCACTTTGGTTCCTTATCTACCTCAACAACAAGAACCGCGGTCATTCATGCAAAGTAAACTTAGCTTGGACAACAATTTCATTAACCACCTACGTACTCAAATTAAATATGAGATGAATTAAATTATTTTTATGAATCTGGGCACCAATTATATAACTTTTAGTTAACTAGGTCTCACTTCGACACAAAAATAATGGGAAAAGAAAAACAAATTTGACGTCTATTTACTTACACGTGACAACATGATACAATCAACAACCATACCATACAAACGTAAATAACAGCAAAATTATATAAAATTTGTAATAAAATGAGATAAAGTGAAATAACAAGCATCTCAACTGGTGAATAACATTGCTTTCGGCAATCAGTGGGAATATAAAACTTGCGTACATTTAGCGCACCAACTGCAACCGATGTAAACTTATCTGCTCCTTTGTCCGCCAATTCTCTAGATATTTTAATGACACCTGGTGCAGTGATATGTTTTGGCCAAACGATCAACGCTATTGAAATAGTTGGGACCGATTCACTCCCCATAAAGCGTCTTTGTTCGAAAAGAAGAAATTGCAATTTCCAAAACTTTCCGACAAAACTCACTGAGTATTAACATTTCGACATTCTAAATTTGGCGCAGCTGAGGCAATGTTTTCAAGCTCCTCTTACATAACCGTTCCGACGAAAACTGAATCTTTTTGTGGTAGGAAGATATAACTCTCAATATTTCAATATGGTTATTAATGGTAAAGAAGTCAACTGCACCGAATTTGGATCACGTAGCTGTACTTTTTGAATACCGCCGCATGGAAGGATTGTCAGGAAATGTAAACCCTTGTAAGCCGGAAACGCTTAATTTCTAAGGTTTTTTAGTGAAAATGGCATACAAATTAAGTGAACTAAATTTGAAACAGCCCATCCCATACAGGATTTCTTATGCACAGTGTAAGCCCTTCAGAAAAATTTTTAAAGATTTTTACGATAAAATCTGGACTATAGTATCAACTTAGCAAAGAAAAGACGGGTAAGAACATTATCATCGGGCAAGACGTCCGTTAAATACCCTACACCACATTGTCTAACATACTTCTTATTTTTGTACGAAATTACTATTATGGGTCCATTGTTAATACTGCTTATTAAAACAAGACTTTTCTGTTTTATAAAGGATCAATTTTCGTGAAATTCCTTACTTTTCAAAATAGATCGTTATATGGGGAGTGGTCGAAAAAGTAGCGTTCGTCTTTGGGTCAAAACACGTCTCTGTATCAAATTTCATCAAAATGTCTCACAAAATCGAACCTGTGAGTTGAACTTAAAACCACAAAGAGGCGACAACAGGCAGACAGACGGACAGACAAGCTTAGACCGGTACAATAAAAGGTGGGGTTATCTTAAGCTCTCCTGTGTCCTCCATAGGTGCGCATGAACTTAATATACCCTGTAGGGTGTAGGGTTATCTCTAGTTTCCTACGACGGAAGGTGCGAAACAATAACACTTTTGGGAAGGAAATTAAGTTTGCTAAACTTAAGTGACGTCATACAATATTTTGGGCATCCTTCAATATACGGGCTTCCATGAAAATCACACGTAATTTTTGAGATATTATTACCAAAACGATTGAATAATTGTTCTAGGCAAAGTGATGTAGGACATATAATGGCCGCCTTTGTCCGACTGTGAAGGTCCTTACTGGTAATCTAAGGAATAATATAAGATTGCGCTACTTATGGTAAAGAAAAATAATCTCAATAAAAGTATTTCTTTTTATTTATTTTTCTTATTGGATAAATAAATACAAAAATCATTATCATTATTATAGTGTTGTTATCAAAAAAAGAAAAAAATTGAATTTTGTTTTTTGAAAAAAAATTTTTCCTTTTTTTTTCTATTCATTTCCTTAAGTAAATACTAAAATTCCTAAAAAGCTAATATTTTTGACGAATAATTATTTATTTGTCGGATAGTCTTGAGTTTTTTTAATCGCCCGAGCATCGTTGTCATCATTTATGATAATTACTTCGTTAGGTTTGTTAAGCTCTTCGAAAGAATCATCAACTTCAGCACTATCACGTAGTTTATTATCCTCTTCGTCGGCTGAGGCTTCCTGATTATCTTGTTCCGTAATTTGCGGGTCTTGCTTTTCCGGCTCTCTATTATCAATACTTGCGTTATTAGCTGCGATAGCTGGTGCATTAGAGTTACCCGGAGGACGGTTATTGTTGCCCCCTTGGAATACACTTAGAATACTTTGTAAAGGGCCTTGTTGCTGAGGTTGCTGTAGCTGCTGTTGCTGCGTTGGTGGGTTGTTGCCGCCTATAAGATTGCTTACAAATGTCTGAATTGGACCGGGACGAGGTGATGTAGCCTCCGCATTCTGATTTAAACCGAACAAGTTTGAGGCGAATTGTTGAAAGCCTTGGAAAGCTTGTGTCGTGCCATTAACAACACTTTGTAGTGGATTAAAGGGGGCCGACGTTACGGGATTATTGCTCGCATCGCTAGGATTTTGTCCGGTTAATTGATTAAAGAATGGACCAAACGGTGAATTTTGTATAAATTGCTGAACAATATTAGCCTGAGTGGTTTGTTGTGGTGGGGCCTGAGTGCCCTGACGTAAATTACCTTGACCTTCACTGTCAGTAACAGTATTTTTGTTGCTATCAGTTTGGTCCAAATTTTCTTCATTTTCGAGCAAAAGTTTATGGGGCTCTACCGTTTCAGAGGTTTGCGTGGATTCGGCTTCTTTCTCCGCATTTAATACATTTTCCGAACTCGCACTTAACTGCTTAAGAGAGAGAGCTTTATTTTCATTAGACTCTAAGTTAGCAATGCTTGTCTGTTCCTCTTTTCTTATAATATCTTTATCAGTTTCTGTAGTAGTGCTGGCATGATTCTCGATTTTCAATTTTTCCTGATCAAATTTCCCTAACTCCTCTGGTATGATTTCGTTAACTGTAACGAAATTTTGTTGAGTGTCTAAAGTGTCTGCACTATCTGTTATAATAGCCACCGGTATAAGTAGTTCTTGCGCGTTGCGCGCTTGCCGTAAATATAAGCCAGCTTCGCTGACAACTATCAAAAATAAAATTCCACTAACGTTACGTAGTAAACGCATGGCCATCGTTTACAATATAAATGATTTGCTTTTTCTTTCTTCTTTTTTTTCTCTTTTTTACTCTTTTTTTTTTTTCTTTGCCACTATAATCACCTTAACACTCGAGGAGAGGCGACTTAAATGTGTTAAGCTTAGTTTGCCGACTGTTTGAAATTTCTTTGGCCGCACGGCATTTATAGCTGGCATCTTATAAACACATACATGCAATGAATACTTGACCATTGTCATGATCTGCACTTGGTTTTAATGGTTAGTCGCTTGATTGCCTTATTGCCTGGTTTAATGGCATATTTTTCTTCTTGTTTTCTTTTTTTTTTTTTTTTTTTGATATTTTTTCACTTGCTCTAAAATGAAATGAACTTAAACGTAACGAAGAGATAAGAAGAGGACAACGCAACGCAACGCAATGATGCCCTTTATGGTTAAGTGATTTATGCATTCATTACGAGATTCTTGTGACCACCTTTTTATTCGAATGCCAAAAGCAATAACAACAGCAACGGAAAGCTAATGTAATATAAAAATCAGTGAGACTTTTATTTCGATGAATAGAAAATCCCTATGTTTAAATTTGGTGCAAATACAACTTGTTTCCGTTCAATTCCTTGCATTGATTTTTTGCTTTATTATTCAAGTCGAAAACAACTTTTCCAATAAACCTGATCCACAACTTTAGCGCTTCAAGATTTAGCCGAGAAATAAAAGCAAAGGAAAAACAAAAAAAAAAAAAAAAAAAAAAAATCGCAAGACCAGAAAAGAACAGATTCTACCACTTTTACTGGCAATCGCTGCTAACCACGGCAAAAAAAACAAAAAAAAACAAAAATTAAGAATTAAATGCATTTGATGCAGACACTCCGAAAGTCAATGAACTTGACTGAGTGCAGAATTTTAAGATGCGTTTGTTGTTAAGACCAATTTTCAAAACGAAAAATAAAAGAAGAAACTCAAATTTAAGGGAACACATGCACAGTGCTGCAGATATCTAAATTTAATACTCAGAAATGGATCATGAAATGATTCCTCTTTGTTTAGCTTAGCTTGAAGAGTTAAGCGTTTGTCGTGTGCAACCAATCGCTGTGCCTAGATATCAATGGCAAATTCTTCTTCCCATATTCTCCCCATCACTTTATCCATGCATCGTTATTACCTATCCTATCAAATCGAAGACAAACCATTATTCAGGACTGCTCAGTCTATAATATTAGATCTATTCCATCCAATAGATTCTATCTTCTGCTAGTACTACTTGCATTCTCAAACTCCAAATGTGATTTGTAAATGCTCGTTCGGTTGTGCGTATTAAGCAAAGAGAGACTCACCTATTAAGCGAAATAAATTGAGTTTCGCTAGATGAAGATTTTAAGCTTCTCGCTCTAGCCGATCCATATGGCTGAACGAATCAAGGGGACTCTTATAATTGCTACAGAGAGCGGATATGGTCACCCCAGTGTAGACCAATGGTTTATTTAGTTTATTTTCATTTTATTCATTCACTTATTAAGTAAGTAAAAAGCCACAGGCCTAGTTACATAGATACTTGATTTCATGTGCAAAAAGAAATTACAACATAAATGGGAGTTAAAGTCAGCTAAATGGCTACTAATGTAATCATGTTGCTCGATAAACTCCGTAATCGTTAATTCCTGCCAGCACAAAATATAAATTCTGAGTTTAGCAGTGCGGTTAATTTTCTTTTCCGAGGATTATCGAAGGATGTCAGGCACAGCGGTAGGATATACCAATATCTAGCGGCTGATGTGTTAGACAAACGTGGTAATAATATGAAGAGGTTTCTATTCGATCTAGAGAACAATAGTCGTTGAGTTAAAGAGCTTGGGAATCAAATTTGAATGATTTTGTACAGGTAGCTAAACAAACTGAATTTTAGAAGCGAAAGAGGAGCATTGTATAAAAACATAAACGAATAAAGGAGATGTGGTCTCTGAGGGTGACGCTGTAAACAAAACGTGTAATGCGACTAAACGTACTTTAAAGCCTATCTAAGTTATACCTTGGGCATCTAGAAAAAAGTTTAATACAATAGTGAACCTGCGTCATGAGGAGGGAATATTTAATAGCATGTTGAACCTTTAGAGGTAGATATAGATTTAGATTGTATAGACGTGGGAGGGTAAGACAAACTTAAGCAGCAGCATTGCCAATGTGCGGGCCAATGTTGACTTTGCGATCAAGGGTTACCCCAAACATGTTACTCAGCTCTTTTTATATTGAGGTTGAATTACTCAGCATGGAGGGAATTGAAGAATAATGTTTTAGTGTTACTGGAGTTAACACAAAGCATTTTATCTATCGGTCAGGACGTAACAATTGCTAAAGACTCGTTGATATTGCTTTCGGACGAATACAAAGTATTTGCATTATCTCTATAAAGCAGAAAGAGGTCATCTGCATACGCAAAAAAGGGTGCAGTCGTTACCAACCAAATTCCCAAGACTCTTTGCTACGAAGAGATTAACCAATAGGGAACCCAAAATGGAACATTGCGGTACACCACTCATAGCTCCAGTTAGAGAAGGACTAGAGTCCTTCACAGAAATAAACTGTTTACCATCCGAAATATACGGATAAACACAAGTTTGCAAGCGACCCGAGAAAGTACGGGTTTATCTTAAAATTTGTTAATAAGCTTACTATATGGGACTCTGCCAAATGCTTTTGTTAGATCGAGAGCGAAAAGAACACTGCGTTTACGAATATTGATGTTGTCTCTAATGAATTCCGTGAAGGAAATTAAGTGTTTCGAGATGCAACATTCACTACGAAACACGAACTGATCATCGTTTGGGGGATTATTGGTATTCAGGAATGAATCAAGTTGTTCCTTCATGATTTGCTCCGTAACTTTGAAGAGACAGGGTTGAATTCTAGAAATCATTCGAAGATTATTATGTGCAAAAGACGAGCCTGGTTTAGGAATGGGTCTTATGTTAGCTATTTTCCACTATTTGGGAAACTTGGCGGTGATTAGTACCATATTCACAACCTGTAATAGATGGTTAGAGATGTAGGGAAAGATCAAGCTAGCAAGTTTGATAGAAAGTGCATCAAATCCAACCGAGGCAGATGGTATTTTTCGAAACGCACTGTGTAGAATGTTTTCAGTCACATTCCGAAATGAGAAAGAAATAGTGGTAATCACGGATATTTAGTTGCTTTTGCATGAGAAACTCATTAATAGCGTTTACGTCTGCCTAATTAGGGTCATCTCTACTATCTGCCAATACACCTTTATTGCGGAGCAAGTGCCATAATTGTTTAGAGTTAGCATTTCCAAAGGAGTTAGCGCACATTTCATTCCTTTCCTTTCTAGTTACGTACTTCACCCTAACACACAGCTTGCAATAGATTTGCCTATAATAGACTAGACTGGACTAGAATATCATTTGAAATTTCTCACTATGCACTCTTCATCCATCTATACACTATATCAATTTGAGGTCGAAAAAGATCAGCCAGTATAGTTCGATAACGCATCTGCACAGTATCTGAAACGATAAAACTACGAAGTTATAAGCCTAAAAACCACACCTCTCGTTATGATTAAAAGGTGACTGCTCGACTCTTCTCCTTGAATTTTCGGAGCCCCGAATTCACGACATTCTCACTTGTTTATGTAGCCAGAGAAATGAAAACAAACTCCCTCGTCATAGAGGAAATTTTAATTATATTTGAAAAACCTCATAGCTGTTACTTGTCGAGTAACCTCCCGCTCGATAATAGTTACATGTTAACGGTTCAAAAATAATGTAAATCATTTAAACAATATCTTCCTTTGAGAAACCGTAAATAATATCCAGAGGGTATCCATAAAAAAATTCTCATAATAAATATTATGATCAGAAGCCTTATTATACCTTACATCACTTATGATACCAGAGGTATTAAGTTTGTAGGGATGTAAGCAAAACCGAGTAGGATTCGAGATATAATCGCCGTTTATTACACCAATCGATTCAGAATCACTTCAGAATCACTTTCTGAATCGAGCTAATCTTGTCTGTCCGTCCGTACATCTTGTTCTCTTATGTTCAATCTACAGGCCGTAAAATTTTTGCGATATTTTGATGACATGCCTTGGCCCACAGGCGAATAATCTTGGAAATACTTCTAACCGAAACGCGATTACGTTCACTTCTCCTACAACATTTTATTATGAAATGTCGAATATGAGTAACTGTTGGGTGGTGAAGGGCATTTAATAAGGGACCGTGGCCCATTGTAGTTTTCACTGCATTCAACATCATTGCCCCCTAACTAAGTGAAGTATGCATATTAAACGGAACCTATTAGGTTAATTATTTAGCATTAATGATACCATCTCTGAACTGAACGCATTTTTAATGTGCTTAAGCACAAAAATCGAATTGATTAAACAAGGAACTCTTAGGAAGATATGTAATAAACAAGTGTAGGGCGAATCTTATGAAAATATTAGGTAAAGAAAAAAAGCTGATGAATAGCCTAAGAATTGTTTAACTTCTTCAGTATATGTACAATGGTGCACAAAGAACTAAGCTAATCATATATCTATGCCTTTGTAAACTGAACAACAACAAATCATTTGCGTTTCTTCCGCCTAGAAAAATATTAAACAAAAAAAAAAAAAAAAAATTATATCAACTATTGGCTTTTTTCTTCTTTTTGTTATTCTTCTTGTTTTTAAAAATATACTCAGGAACTTGTTTTCGTGTCAAAACTGGAAAGCTTTGACAAAGCCCGGCCGACATTTGTGGCTTTGTGAACAATAAGAAGAAAGATTAAAATAATAAATAAATCAACAAAATCTGTTGAACAACAAACATCTGACGTCTTGTCAAAAATCATTAACCAATCAAACATGTTTTTTTTTTTTTTTTTTTTTTTTTTAATATTACACGCAAAGAAAGTCGCGTTTATTTAAAAGTATTTAAGTTCGTTCGTTTGCACTTTTATATGCAAATATAAATAATTTCTTTCTTTACTTTATTAAGTTGTCCATTATCTTTGAAACACCGAAACACTATGCCGTATGCCGTAACGCGATTACGTTGACCTATACAAAATCTATGCATATCAGTGATCTTGGTATTAAAAATTTCCTTTCGATTTATATCCGCTTAAGCTCGAACATCCATTC